AGGCAGCCTCTGACTCACTGTAACGTGAGACGGGCTATATATGACCATGATTCCACCACCCCGACAGCTGATGTGACTCTCCCTCAGACCTCCTGTCTGCCCAAGGTTGCTCTAAGCTATGAACTTGGTAAAATCTATTTGTATTGTAAATGCCGGAGCACAATGTGGATAAAATGGCAACACTTTAAAAAGATACGCCTGTCTCCTGGATTTGTACATAGATGAGCTTTTTTTTTTTTTTAAATGAAGTTGAAAAACCATTTTCATTTGCAATCACCCCACTATTTTTTATTGCAAGTCTAAAGGAGAACTAGCATGCGCTTAACATCCGCTTTCAAACTGCTTCACTGGAAGCCTTTGAGGTCTAATTGAGGGGTCAAGTTGGCTGGGGAGATTTATTTTGTAACCCCCCACACTATCCAGATTCATAAGGTTTAAAATAGGAAGTAACTCTAGCGCATAAGCTTAATGAAATGATTCAACTCGGCGACAGTTAAAGGGAACAAGAAGTTCTGCTTCGCTTGATGTGCAGCAGGTTGTACTCTGCTTCTCATAATTCTGCCCCTAGCTGGAGGCTTCAGTCCATGAAAACATAAACAGCAAGCACCCTGAAGCCCAGATAGGAAATTGAACAGGTCGTATGTCATGTTCCAGAAGATTCCAGAGAAGTTGGGTCTGAGGGCAGAACCTAAAAGAATGTCTTAACTCTCTGCATCTGTTCTCCAGGATGTGTTAGAACACTGGACAGAGACAGGGAAGTCCTGGACCCAGTCCCAGGCTCTCCTCTGCTGTGTGACCTTGCGCAAGTCACTCAATCTTGCTGGAACTCAATTTCTTCATATGTAAAATGAAGCCCAGAGCTTCATCCCCTAAATATGTACAGACCACCTGCTCTGTGCCAGGCTCATGATGAATAAGACAAACACGGTCCCTACATGAAAGCCCATGGAGCTTGGAGTCTATTGGAAGAAATCAACACAAATATTTTAATAATACTATCATGACAATAACTCACATTTATGGGAACCATATGCCAGGACTTGTTCTAAAGATCATCATCTCTTATAATCTTATAATAACATCTGTATGAGATAGACACTATTATTACTATCTCATTACCATTTTGCACAAGGGAAAACTGAGGCTTCATGAAGTTCACTAGATCAGGGTTACATGGATAGAAGTGGTACTCAGGATTCCAAGGGCAGGTCTGGCCAACTCCAAAGCCGGGTCCTTTATCTGTCCTTTCTGCTGTCTTGACTTCCTTCTTAACTGATCACAGACCTGGGGATAGACTTTAGAATTGGCTTGTTTGCCCAAAGACCATTTCACGGTCTCAGCGTAAATAGGAACCTATCCATGGGTTCACACTGGGGTATTTACCGAAGAGGTGTTTCTTGTTTGGAAAGCACAGCTCACTCCTTCCGGAGCCCTTGGAAGGTGGCACGGGAAGCCAGCAGCAGATGGTGGAAGTGGAATTGCTTCCACCAGCCCCTCCAGCCCCTCTGCTGCGGACTGGATAACGGCATGAACTCCAGGTCTATTCTCCCTGCTCCAGAGCGAGCCCAATCAGTCAATCAACCAACCGCAAATCAACTCCAAAGAATACAGACCAACAGAAAGAAACAGGCATGCTGCACTTTCCTCGACCTTTAAACTGATTATAGCCCTGATTGCCTTCCAGTTTTGAAGCCAAATGAAACTGCAGTTGTGCATGGAACAGAGGCCTGTGCTGAGCCAGCCAAACAGTAATAGCTCAAGCTGCTTCTTTATAAGGGCAGCTTAGACTGACAATTTGATGTGCTCCTACTCTGCACCAGGAACTTTCTGTTTATTGACTCGTTTAAAACTTACAGCTCCATTCATTCATTCATTCATTCATTCATTCATTCATTCATTCATTCATTCAATTGATATTTATCTGCCACTCACTTTGTGCCAGGCACTGTACTAGGAGATAAACCAGGCAGACACATCACATCAGGAGGTACCATGATGTCAAGGTGTCCTATTATTTCATGTAGGTTACATGCTAGTGGGGAAGACAATTGTCCAGTAAATAAATTTAGGTTGGTGCAAAAGTAATTGCATTTAATGTCATTATTTTTATTTTTATTTTTATTTTTTTTGAGACGGAGTCTCGCTCTGTCGCCCAGGCTGGAGTGCAGTGGCTGGATCTCAGCTCACTGCAAGCTCCGCCTCCCAGGTTTACGCCATTCTCCTGCCTCAGCCTCCCGAGTAACTGGGACTACAGGCGCCTGCCACCTCGCCTGGCTAGTTTTTTGTATTTTTTAGTAGAGACGGGGTTTCACCGTGTTAGCCAGGATAGTCTCGATCTCCTGACCTCATGATCCGGCCGTCTCGGCCTGCCAAAGTGCTGGGATTACAGGCTTGAGCCACCGTGCCCGGCCGTATGTCATTATTTTTAATGGCAAAAACCATTAAAAATTATTTAATTTTTAATTAAATAATTAAATGCAATTATTTTTGCACCAACCTAATAGCAGCTGTACAGTCAAGCATCAGCAGGACTTGTCCATAGCTGAGAGCACAGGCCCAAAATACTCCACATTTAAAGAAAGCACAAAACAACTGGGCATCTCACATCTCCTTAGGTTCTCCATCCTGGCTGAGCAATAGGCACAGTGGCTGATGCCCATAATCCCAGCACTTTGGGAGGCCGAGGAAGGAAGATCACATGAGGTCAGGAGTTCAGGACCAGCCTGGCCAACATGGTGAAACCCCGTCTCTATGAAAAATATGAAAATTAGCTGGGCATGGCGACAAATGCCTGTAATCCCACCTACTTGGCAGGCGGAGGCATGAGAATCGCTTGAACCCCAGAGATGGAGGTTGCAGTGAGCCAAGATTATGCCACTGCACTCCAGCCTGGGTGACAGAGCGAGATCCTGTCTCAGAAAAAAAAAAAAAAAAAAAGAAAAGGAATAGAAAGTACAGAGTCCCAAGGTGAAGAAGGCATTGGCAAATTGCAAGAACAGAAAAGAGACTAGAGGGGCTGCAGTCCACTGAAGGAGGATGGGGACAGGGTAGGATGGGGAGGTTAGAGGACCCAAGGCATGATGGCCTGTGGCCTGCTGAGGGATGTATGACTATTTTTTGTAGTTTCTCATAATCATAATAATAAAGTACTATGTGCTTATCTAAAAGATTCCAACAGTGTGGTTCCACCTCTCTGGTCCAAATTCTCAAAGGTAACTACCAATAATTTTCTTCCAGACTGTTTAGCATCTCTGTGTTTCCATGCATATATATATATATTTTTTTCTTTTTGAGACGGAGTCTGGCTGCGTTGCCTAGGCTGGAGTGCAGTAGCACGATCTCGGCTCATTGCAACCTCTGCCTTCTGGGTTCAAGTAGCTGGGATTATAGGTGCCCACCACAAAGCCTGGAAAATTTTTGTATTTTTAGTAGAGACAGGGTTTCACTATGTTGGCCAGGCTGGTCTTGAATTTCTGACCTGAGGTGATCCACCTGCCTCAGGCTTCCAAAGTCCTAGGATTACAGACCATGCATATATTTTTTATATGAATAAAATCTTATAGTTCTGCAATTTAATTTTCTCCACTTGAAAACGTATCAGGTCGGGCGCAGTGGCTCACACCTGTAATCCCAGCACTTTGGGAGGCCGAGGCAGGCGGATCACCTGAGGTCAGGAGTTTGAGACTAGCCTGGCCAATATGGATGGTGAAACTCCATCTCTACTAAAAATACAAAAATTAGCCAGGCATGGTGGCAGGCGCCTGTAATCCCACCTACTCGGGAGGCTGAGGCAGGCGAATTGCTTGACTCCGGGAGGCAGAGGTTGCAGTGAGCCAAGATCGAGCCACTGCACTCCAGCCTGAGTGACAGAGCGAGACTCCATCTCAAAAAAAAAAAAAAAAAAAAAAGAATATATCAGCCAGGCACGCTGGCGCATGCCTGTAATCCCAGCATTTTGGGAGGCTGAGGTGGGCAGATCACTTGAGGTCAGGAGTTCAAGACTAGCCTGGCCAACATGGTGAAACCCTGTCTCTACTAAAAATACAAAAATTAGCCAGGCATGGTGGCAGGCGCCTGTAATCCCACCTACTCGGGAGGCTGAGGCAGGCGAATTGCTTGACTCCGGGAGGCAGAGGTTGCAGTGAGCCAAGATCGAGCCACTGCACTCCAGCCTGAGTGACAGAGCGAGACTCCATCTCAAAAAAAAAAAAAAAAAAAGAAGATATTGGTTCATGAAATTATGGAGACTGAGAAGTCCCACAATCTGCCATTTGCAAGCCAGAGACACAGGAAGTCCAGAGAACCAATAGTGTAGATTCTAGCCTGGGTCTGAAGGCCTGCAAGCCAGGCACAGGAAGGGCAGGAGAGATCAAGGCCCCAGCTCACATGGCCAGGCAGAGTTCATGCAACCTTCCTCTACCTTTTTGTTCTATTTAGGCCCTTAACAGATTGGATGAAGCCCAGTGGGGAGGTCCATCTGCTTTATTCAGTCAATCAAATCAAATGCTAATCTCTCTGGAAACACCTTGACAGACAGACCTAGAAATAATGTTTAATCTGGGTATCTCACAGCCCAGTAAAGTTGACACATAAAATTAGCCATCACAAAAGGGGAGAAGACAAGCATAAAATACCATTTGAGTTCAGACACACAATCAACAACTTAGAAGAATAACTATAACTATCCATCATACTGATAGACACTGTGTTTCCAAAATAATGGGTTATTCTTGATGTCTTGTAGCTTCAAAAATAGAAACCTGCAGACACAGGGAGACATTGAATTTGTCCCTGTGGGAGAGAAATAGCCCTCTAAATTATATCACATCACCTCTGTCACTGCACAGCAGAATCTTAATATGCAGTCACTTCCCCCATGCACAAGCTGAGTTCCATGCAGACAAGGACCTTACAAAACCTCAGAGGGCCTCCTTCTTGAGCCTGGAATAAGAATCAGGCTTTTCTTGAATGAACTAAGGACTGTGAATCCAGCAACTTACCTTTTTGTTCTTGCTTGGCCCAGAAAATTTTGACTCGCTGGTGAATGTGCTTGGCCTCGCGCAGTTTCTTCTGCCACTGACGCAGCTCTTGAATCTCAGGATCACAGCGAACCTGGAAAATCCCAGTAAAACTTCAGTCCCTTTTCAACATACTTCTGTACACGAGCTTATTAACCCTGCATGGAAAATCCTTTACAAACCAATTGGATGTACTTTTGATTCTCAATGAATCATCGTCCTAAATGAATTATTGACACTCCTAGAGCTTACATCATATTTGAGCATAAATGAGGTTGTGTGAAGATTTGCTATAGTAACAGTAGGTTAAGAACGAGCAGGTCTGTGCTGTCCAATAGAAAGATAATGCAGCCACCACATTTGTAACTTTAAACTTCCTAGCTGGCATCTCATTTTAAAAAGTAAAAGCAAGCAGATAAGATTATTTTTTTTTTTTTTTTTTTTTGAGACAGAGTCTTTGCTCTGTGCCCCAGGCTGGAGTGCAATGGCGCATCTCGGCTCACTGCAAGCTCCGCCCCCCCGGGTTCACGCCATTCTCCTGCCTCAGCCTCCCGAGTAGCTGGGACTACAGGCGCCCGCCACGGCGCCCGGCTAATTTTCTTGTATTTTTAGTAGAGACGGGGTTTCACCGTGTTAGCCAGGATGGTCTCGATCTCCTGACCTCGTGATCCGCCCGTCTCGGCCTCCCAAAGTGCTAGGATTACAGGCTTGAGCCACCGCGCCCGGCCAAGATTATTTTTAAGAATGTATTTCACGGCCGGGCGCGGTGGCTCAAGCCTGTAATCCCAGCACTTTGGGAGGCCGAGATGGGCAGATCACGAGGTCAGGAGATCGAGACCATCCTGGCTAACACGGTGAAACCCCGTCTCTACTAAAAAAATACAAAAATCTAGCTGGGCGAGGTGGCGGGCGCCTGTAGTCCCAGTTACTCAGGAGGCTGAGGCAGGAGAATGACGTGAACCTGGGAGGCGGAGCTTGCAGTGAGCTGAGATCCGGCCACTGCACTCCAGCCTGGGCAACAGAGCCATCTCAAAAAAAAAAAAAAAAAGAATGTATTTCTCTTGGCCAGGCATGGTGGCTTATGCCTGTAATCCCAGCACTTTGGGAGGCCGAGGCTGACAGATCACCTGAGGTCAGGAGTTCGAGACCAGTCTGGCCAACATGGTAAAACCCCCTCTCTACTAAAAGTACAAAAATTAGCTAAGCACGGTGGCAGGTGCCTGTAATACCAGCTACTTGGGAGGCTGAGGCAAGAGAATCACTTGAACCCAGGAGGCGGAGGTTGCAATGAACCGAGATCGCACCATTGCACTCCAGCCTGAACAAACAAACAAGAATATATCTCACGTAACCTAAAACATTCAAAATCTTATTACTTCAACATGTAATTAATATAAAAAATTATTATGTAGGGCATGGTGACTCATGCCTGTAAATCCCAGTACTATGAGAGGCCAAGGTAGGAGGATTGCTCAAGCCCAGGTGTTCAAGACCAGCCTGGGCAACACAGCAAGACGTCATCTCTATAAAAAATAAACAAAATTAGCTGGTGGTGGTGAACGCCTGTAGTTCCAGCTACTCAGGAGGCTGAGATAGCAGGATTGCTCAAGCCTGGGAGGTTGAGGCTAAGGTGAGCCAAGACTGTGCCACTGCACTCCAGCCTGGGTGACAGAGTGAGATCCTGTCTCAAAAAAATAAAAATACAAAATTTATGAGTTATCTTACTTTCTGTTTTGCATGCTAAAGTCTTCAACACTGTGTGTTTTTGCACTTAAAACATACTTCATTGGCTGGGCGTGGTGGCTCACGCCCGTAATTGCAGCACTTTGGGAGGCCGAGGCAGGTGGATCACGAGGTCAGGAGATCAAGATCAACCTGGCTAACATAGTGAAACCCTGTCTCTACTAAAAATACAAAAAATTAGCCAGGCGTGCTGGTGGACACCTGTAGTCCCAGCTACTGGGAGGCTGAGGCCTCCAGTAGGAGAGGAGAATGGCGTGAACCCGGGAGGCGGAGCTTGCAGTGAGCCGAGATCGCACCACTGCACTCCAGCCTGGGAGACAGCGAGACTCCATCTCAAAAAAACAAAACAAAACAAAACAAAACAAAAAACTTTATTTCAAGTGTTCAACAGACACATGTAGCTGGTGGTTACTACATAGAACAGCACAGTTCTAGGCTCACCACAGTTAATGCATTAACCACAGTTCTATTTAACACTGACTGCTTACTTCATACCAACTTTAGTGCTAGATGTTGAGATTAAAGAGATGAATAATAGTAATTGTAACAATAATTATTTTTATTTTTATTATAGCTCATATTTATTGAGCATTTATCTCCCAGGCATGGTTTGAAGTATCTTACAAATTTTATTTCATAGAGATAGAGTCTTGCCATGTTGCCCAGGCTGGTCTCAAACTCCTGGGCTCAAGCCTTGGCCTCCAAAAGTGCTGGGATTACGGGTGACAGCCACTGCGCCTGGCCAGATATTTTACAATTTTTTTTTTTTTTTTGATACGGAGTTTTCGCTCTTGCTGCCCAGGCAGGAGTGCAGTGGTGCAATCTCAGCTCACTGCAATCTCCACCTCCCGGGTTCAAGCAATTCTCCTGCCTCAGCCTCCCAAGTAGCTGGAATTACAGGTGTGCGCCACCAGGCCTGGCTAATTTTGTATTTTTAGTAGAGACAGGGTTTCATCATGTTGGTCAGGCTGGTCTCAAACTCCTGACCTCAAGTGAACCATCTGCCTTGGCCTCCCAAAGTGCTGGGATTACAGGTATGAGCCACTGCTCCCGGCCTATTTTACAAATTTGAATCACTAAGCCACACGGATAAGGCAGGATTGGTTATCCCCATGTTACAGATGAGATAACTGAGTTTTAGTGGCTTGCCAAGTCGTATTGGAAATGGTGGAGCTGCAATTAAAACTTGAATGGGGCTGGGCGCGGTGGCTCACGCCTGTAATCCCAGCACTTTGGGAGGCCGAGGCGGGCGGATCACAAGGTCAGGAAATCGAGACCACGGTGAAACACCGTCTCTACTAAAAATACAGAAAATTAGCCGGGCGCGGTAGCGGGTGCCTGTAGTCCCAGCTACTCAGGAGGCTGAGGCAGGAGAATGGTGTGAACCCAGGAGGCGGAGCTTGCAGTGAGCAGAGATTGCACCACTGCACTCCAGCCTGGGGGACAGAGCTAGACTCCATCTCAAAAAAACAAAAAAACAAAAAAACAAAAAAAAACTTGAATGGATTGATTCCAGCTGCCCTTGAGAAACTTCAAGTGTAGGAGGAGACACAGGAATAAGATCAGTAAGGTATGGTAAGAGTAGGGAAATTGGTGAGTGCAAGGGAAAACAGAGGGGGCATCCAACCCAGCCTTGGAGAGGTCAGAAAACCCCTGGGCTGTTTTGAAGGATGAACTAGAGTTCACCATGGGAAGAAGGGATGGAGTGTAATGGTGTTCCTGGGAGGGATACTGGCCTCTGCAAAAGGTGCAGAAGGGTGAAACAGTCTTGGATGATCCAGGAACTCCAAGGCGACAAAGTAACAAAGGGCTCAGAAAGGCCACAGCCACTCACATCCTTCCTCTTCCTGATTCATCTTTCTACCTCTTCACTTGCCAGAGGAGCTGCATCTCACAAAGCAGATTCCAAGACTGGAAGGGAGTGATTTTATATATGTGGAAGTGTGTCAACTTTATCTTGAAAGATAAGTTAAAGTCACAAAAGAATGCTGCGAGACATACCAAGAAATGAGATCCAACATTTTCCAAAGAAGTCCCTGACTCAGCTCTCTAGATTAACTATTCAATAGGGCTACTTTGGGGGTTCCCCTTATTTCGGGGGTCCCCAACCCCTGCAGCCACAGCCACAGGCTAGTACTGGTCCACGGCCTGTTAGGAACCAGGCAGTACAACAGAAGATGAGTGGCGAGTGAGCAGTGAAGCTTCATCTGTATCTGCAGCCACTCCCTATTGCTCACATTACCACCCGAGCTCCACCTCCTGTCAGATCAGTGGCAGCATTAGATTCTCATAGGAGCATGAACCTTATTGTGAACTGCATATGTGAGGGATCTAGGCTGCGTGCTCCTTATGAGAATCTAACTAATGCCTGATGATCTGTCACCATCTCCCATCACCCCCCAGATGGGACCACTTAGTTGCAGGAAAACAAGCTCAGGGTTGCCACTGATTCTACATGATGGTGAGTTGTATAATTACTTCATTACATATTATAATGTAATAATAATAGAAATAAAGTACACAATAAATGTAATGTGCTTGTATCATCCCAAAACCATCCCCCTACCCCAGTCCCCCATCGATGGAAAAACTGTTTTCCATGAAACTGGTCCCTGGTGCCAAAAAGGTTGGGGACCACTGTCTTAATCAGTTTATTTATTTATTTATTTTATTTTATTTTTTTAAGAGGGAGTCTCATTTTGCTGCCTAGGCTGGAGTGCAGTGGTGCGATCTCACCTCACTGCAACCTGTGCCTCCTGGGTTCAAGCAATTCTCCTGCCTCAGCCTCACGAGTAGCTGGGATTACAGGCATGCACCACCACATCTGACTAATTTTTGTTGTTTTAGTAGAGACTAGGTTTTGCCATGTTGGCCAGGCTGGTCTCGAACTCCTCACCTCAGGTGGTCTGTCCACCTCGGCCTCCCGAAGTGCTGGCATTACAGGCGTGAGCCACTGCACCCGCCCAGCTCCATTCATTTTAAATGAGGCAGTAGCTGTGTATTCTGGAGGAACAGTTGCCTGAACTGGAATGAGCATGTAGAACTGGGGCAGCCACATTCCACATGCCCAGGTCAGTGCTTCCCTCTCTAGGCCATGGTCCCTTCCTGTCTCTCCAGGGACCCCAGGTGCCCAGAAGGGTGGCCTCCTTGCTCCTCCTCTCTTCTTAAAGTCACAACTCAGACCTGCTGGTCTGATAGTCAGGAACTACTGTCTCTCCTGCTGGGAGGGATGCAGGGCAAACTGAGGCAGAAATAGTAATCTGCCAGGCCTGCAGGACCCAGCATTTAAGAGAAACTGGTGAAGGGAGTGCAGGGTGAGGACAGACCAGAGAGCCAGGCTTGTCTAAGGGG